ATTGCTTTTGAGCACAGAGTGGAGACGTTAGCAACTTAACAACGAACGTAGAACGAATATTACACAAAACAAAAGTGTAAGCATACCAGAAATTGAATGTACAACGCCAAGCCAGGCTGATAGTTTACAACTGAAACGTTGACGACCGGCGGATTGTTGCTGGAAACATTTATCCCACGAGGTACCAAGAAGAACAATATCAGAACGCTGACAAGAAGGCAGACCGTGAAAGTGCCAAGAACCCATAGCCATCTGAAAGTACAGTGATGATGATTAACAAACCGATTTAACATGAAGACAAAAACGATAGGCAACCTCGTTCACCCAAAAACTGATATACGTGACTTTAAGGAGAGAAGTGCCTAACCAACTCTGATAATAAGATAGATGAAATCCGACGTTATTTCCTACCATATATGCCAAGACTAAAGGAGGATTTCGTTGCCCTTTTAAAAATGCATATTTACTAGGCCTAAAAGGTTGTAAACAGCACAAAACATGGTTTGTTTATAAAAAACGTAAAAGAATTCGATGAACCGAATAAATGGTAAGTACAGACGGCTCGGCCCGTATCTCATGGCTCTTCTTCAAGGTAGAGACGTGGGTTGGCATCAGAAATCATTTTCATCGTTCGCAGCTTTTTTAGAGGCTAGAAGGCAAGCTTTTGATCCGTGCTGTCGTAGTCCTGGCACAAGGACGACAAGACTAATTCAATCCACCCGCAGTTCGTATCGTTTGCCATGGCTGATATCCATCACGCAGGACTGGACGATTAATGATTAATTATACGCCTGTTCAACCAGTCCCTGCTTTGAAAAGTTCAGTTAATTTCATTGTTAACGATTAAGATCAAAGAACTCTGACAGTCATCAGCGACAAGAGGATCTGCACCAACGCCAAACGTGCAGGCAGAGCCTTACGTCATAGTTGCAATTAATTAAACCTCATGTCATTCGAATTTACAATGGTTTGTACACAACAATATGCATTAATCCCATGATAAGCAGTTTCAGCACGTCTCTGTGCTGATTGATCAAAGTGTTACTGGTTTTGTCCAGTCGGTGATTATTTTCTAGTCTAGTGTTCCGGAAAATGGCTCGAATCCTCACCAGTCCATGTTTTAAGAATCCTGAAGGTCAATGATCTAAATAGCACAAAATTACTATATTTAATGAAGAATATGTATCTCAATGGGAGCCACATAAAGAAAAATACATTCAGTACATATTAGAAAATTTGCTGATTTCTTCAAACATACTGAGAACAAAAAGAGTGATAATCGGATCACTGCAATAGACTTTAGGGCCAGAACTAAAATTGGAATGATGGGAAATACAGTTAATTAAATTATGTGGATGTTTTGAAATTTGATACATGACAGTTTGATCTCGTATGAAAGAATTTGCCATTAGAGTTCTACATACATCCTTTTTATAATATTTCCCCCTCCTTGGCGGATGATGCAAGAAAAGGAATCAAGGTATCTACTGGAATGCTGTAGCTTTCCATAAACTAAAAACTTTTTAGTTAGTTTTTAGTGTAATTGTTAGTCCTCTGTGAATTAAAAAATCTGAAAGTATATACAAAATAAACCAATTTTCTGAATTTATTGTTACAAATGATAACCGCTGCAAATTATTGCTCTCTATTGCTTTTGTTACCATCGTCATCCAACGTATTATGGTCAAAGACCAGATATCTGGATCACTGATATAAGAAATTATTACTTACAGTTCTGGAACAATCAATCAACATCAGATTTAATCAAACTCCAGCTGATCACGTGTAACCAAGTAGGAGGGCTGGAAGTCAATCCTTGCATATTTAATTTAGAGGGTTGAAAAGTGTGATAATCTCCACACATCCAGCCTTGACGATTCTGTTGAGGTAAACGCCAGGAAGAAAAGGTTGCTACGGAGTACAAGTCGGTGGAAGGTATATTTTGAACGGTCTAAGATCTGACATAGCTATTTAAACGGTCAGTTAATATACCAATCATAATTAAAGGTTATCAAATTTCCTTATGCACCTAAAGGAAACTGTGTAAAAAAGGACACTAGAAATGTAAACCGGACTTGAAACAAGGGGGACACCGTTTATATTAATTTAAAAAATGTTAAATTTTTTATGCACGTGGATTTTACTGTCTGGACAGAGGTTGATCGATGACTCCTAGGCTAGAAGAACGGAAAATCTGGAAAATGTATGATCGATGTCATGAGGAAATGGATAGAAAATAGCATCTTTCGCACTATTCAGATAATATTCATATAAGATATGGCTAAATAACGTTACGCTTACTGATATGTTGACGCCATGCCCCCGCCCCCTTGGGAGGACGGCATTTATTTTCGACGTGCAAACTGAATTCTATCATCTAATTCTCGCCGTAAACAGTGAAAACAAAGTGACGGAGTGACTGTAGGACGAAGAGCAGTCAGTGGACATATTTTACGTCAACCTTCAAAACAGCGACAAGGGTCTATCAGGAATCCCATGTCATCGACGCTCTGATATATTCATTAGCCCCTGAATAACTGTCATTACCAACAAATTGTAGGGACACAGTTGCCACGGTTCAGTCAAGTAGAAAAAGAGCTGTTTTGAGCCAACAAGTGTACATTACTGATTCATGAATAGTTTCTATACAGCGGAGCAATGTTTCTTCACCGTGCTTTATGTATCGAATGTCTCAAGGAAACAACGCAAAAATAGATATTCAACAAAAAGAATTGTATGAGTAGTCGTGAGGGTAAGCCTCATATCATCGCAATACGCCTGCCTTATCTTGAAATTTCAAATACACCTTTATAAAAACTCCTTTCTTTGGCCATTTTAGTTTTTCAAATGACGTTTGTCAACAAATGGAAAGATGAAGACAGACTGCTGTGGCTATTAGGATGCTTCATCGGTCAATTTTTTGCAAATTGCTGTCGATGGAGAAATCTAAATATGGCGTCACGCTGATTCAGAATTCCAAACTATTTTAATTCGCCGTAGAAACAAGCGTTTTACAAGTCAAACTGGGGAAAAGTCATCAAAAGATCCGTGACAACTAGCCTAAAATAGACGGCGCTAAAATAAGAACAGAGCATATCCGTCCTGAACCTCAGATATCATCGAGAGGAAAACTACACGCATTCGAAAAACTCTTTCGCTAACGAATTCGATCCGTAACTTTTGCCCCTAGCGAGACTCAGAGATCAGTTCCAGTGGACAAAACCGTTAACGCTGGCGCAGAGTTAGAGACCCCGTATGTGCAGGATGGAACATGGTCTCGAAGTGATCAAACGATCGTCCCTCATATTCGTTCTGCGCAGAATGGCTGAATGAAATGCAAGCAGAAAAACTGACGCCCAAAAAATGATCAGAGGCGTAGAGAATGACGTTGAGCAACGACGTTGAATAGCCAAAGAGCCGAACACATGGAAATCCCTCAAACCTGTTGTGCTGCTTTGACTGATCTCATACATTTGACATTGACAGCTTAACATTATCCTTTTCTTGCACCCCTAAAGATCTTCTCAGTTGAGAGAAATGCCTAAACACGTGTATTTAATTCACAGCAAATTTTAAACACTCGTCAAGCTCATTTCAGACAAAAAAAGATGAGGCGTAAATTTGGGAGAGAATGTTATTCCAGTAAAACAAAAAACTGAACTTACGTCCTCCTTGGATTTAGTCGCCTGTCACTAGCGGGAATCAGTGCAACGAGTTCTGATTCGCATTCTACAATAAAATTTTATTAAGCACGTGAAAATAATAACTAAATCATACGTACTAAGATACCTAAAACATTTGGAAGAACAAATACACTTTCAAGATCGATGCTCTCTTCTACTAATTACGGTAATAGAATATGCACTGAATACATAATACATCATGTCACTCGACACTGTATCTCTGGACTGAAGATAATTTGGATATGTATATGTTTGAATTTGTAAAATAATATAACATATAACAGAATTGCAATATATTACCTAGCGTATTCATTATAATATATTTCTGCTCTTGTATATCCTGAACATGGAAAAAAGTGATTGAACTGTCATAAACACTGTCAGCTATGCTGTCTGCTGATCTTCTATTCACTGTATCCACTGTTCTCCTGTATATGTACAGCTTCTGCTGTTTCATATATGTACCGTCTTATAAGTCTTCCATGATGTGACTGCAATATAAATCTGTCTATGCTAGGCATTCTGTAACATGGAAAGAATGGAGATCAAAGGTCATATTTATACTTGGAAACACGAAGTATTTTATTTATCAAGAAATCAGCCCTCTGATTTAAAGTGATACTTGTTTTGATGTCTAACAGGTTGCTGGCTCCTGCTGTTTGAACCACAATCACTATAACACATGTACAGCACCATATTATCTATACAAGGCTGTACAGTAGGTCAGAATAACCTATGCATAACATTATAAGTGCATTAAAATAGCAAAACCTTATAATACCATTATCATTTGGATAATCATGCAGAGTAAAAAAAAAAGGAAGAACAAGGCATAAAATCTTTAATTATATACGTTCAATAGAGATAATGACGCTTCGGAGCAAAGTCAAACGCCTGTTTTCTGAATTACAAAAGACTCTTGTACTCATAGACTCCATACCTGCCTCTGTCTTTGTACTTTTCAATATTGTTAAATGAATTCTTGACCGATACAATATGCGTTCTTAAAATGTACGGGTATGGATATAAGCAAAACACATCGTACATGATAAAACATGTTGTCAACAACGTAAATTTAGGAAACAAGCATTAAGAGGTAATATATACAGTCTTATACTAATCACACTGAAAAAACGGTTAAATATAATAACTACAGTATTAAAATACCCTCCGTATGATCTAGACAACATACACTATTAAGTACAGATGTCAGGTATACAAATACTAAGCGAACCTGTTTCTGACAAATTAGAAAAACTTAATGTTTTCTCTGAGATTAGCTATACCTGGCGATAGAAAGCCCTTCCCGTGGCAGGAAGGGCAACGAAACTGCTGCCTTGATGAATGTGGCGCAGGTGGATCGGTCGACGATGTTTCAGTTACCATGCATCCCAGTTTCTGAAAACTGGTGAAATCAGCATCTAAAATTACCAATCATCACTTATTAAGTAACAGAATTTATTTTCCAAAATTCAGCTTTATTGCGCTTTCTATAATCTTTTCCAATTTTAGCGTTAAACTGTGAATCTGACTTGAAGGTGATCGATGCTTCTGGCGAATACTGTTTAAAACGATTTTGACTTCGAACTTTTTTCGTGCCAACAGCTAACGAATTGCAAAACGTTTTCTTCTTTTCACTTGACATTTACTCCGAAATAGCGATACATCAGAACGGTTTTAAATAATCCAGAGGTAACAAGATTCTGAATCCTCAGTTGGGGATTTGGAAAGACGATTTAAGGACAGGTTCTTCTGTAGAACAGCAGTTCAAAGAAACAATGACAGGAAACAAACGGACGTACGAGGGATCTCATGATTACTTCTCCAAAATGACACCACAAACCATAAGCCGAGGAGGAACGTTCTCGATTTTCCGATGGTAACGAAAGCAAACCTTAGTTATAACAAATTTGGGCTAAGCAGTGAACAGTCGATGTTAGGATGGCAGAGTGAAGTATGAAGAGCCTGTGTAAGTATTACTGAGTGATGCTTAACTCATCCAAAACCGGATGGCAGCAACAGTGCAGCTGAATTACATTCAATGAAAGCTATCCAAGTGCTCAAAACATTACTTAGCATCAGTTTACATATAGAGCAACTTATATCATAAGTTGATA